GCTGCTTTCCTCCTGGCGGAATTTTATTTTCGGGGCAGAATGGTAAACTATTATGTTTATTATGAACATTTTTAGGATATTTCAGATCTACTTCTAATATGTATCCTATATTACCTCTGGCTGATATATTAAGAGCGTTGAAAGATAAAATTTCATTATTACTTAGAAATTTAAAATTGGAATATGGAAGTGGTTGACTCATAGCCCATCCATATAAATTGTTGGCGTCAATATATGTCAGGTAGTTTATAGGATCGCTAGACTTGAATTTGTCATTTAAGTATTTGTTATTTGCTGTAGCGATCCTTTGGGTACATTGAGTCAACCCTCCCCCGGACTGCAGTTTTTAAAAAGTTATAAATATCAGGATCACTTATAAGTTCCAATTCTATCTTTGTGTATTTAAGCATTGCATCCCATGAAACTGAAGGAGCAGTAACATAATTAATGGGATCTAGTCTGTATACTCGTGAACAAAGAGTTCTAAAATTTTCGAATACATCGGCAAGAATTAGAACATCGCTTTCCAAGTATAATTTTAAGTAATCTCTAATACTAGTACAGTTAAACATTCTCCACACGCTCTGAGCAAAGTTATAATCTTCCACGCTACATTCCTCATCATTCAGAGAATTATAAAAATATTCCCTTGAAGGGAGCTGGGATTCCTCAAATTTTTGAAAACTATCTAAATAGTCATAGGGAAATACTCCTTTTCTTCGTAGCATGTCAAATTTTTCGTTTTGATATTTGCTGTTCAATTTTTTGAAATTGGATACATCCATATAGCTAGCAAGTTTTTCTAAGCTCGAATTTAAAAATCTATTTGAATCTATGTATCTTATTTTATATTGATGAAGATGTGAATCAAGCTTGCAAGTTTGAGTTAACGCAATATATAACTCTTTATTGCAAGGAATGGGTTTCAATTCATCTCTTATCGATGTTACAAATAAGTGGATGTCATATCGAGACAAGTTGTGACACACTACAGGGAAAAAGGGATCGCTTAATCTAAATGTTTGTTTACAGACCTTATGAATAGGCCCTACATATTGGCCCGTGAATTGATTGAAGTATTTTTCACGATCATCAACCAAAATTTGCTCATCGCAGGCACAGCACGCTTCGTGTTCCTGACAGTCTTCATCCCAAATATTGAATTCATATATGGGCTTTTTACTAGATTTCCAGTACTTCTCATAAAGGCCATCAGTTTTAGCCCTAAGCACTTGACAGAATTTTTCAATACAATCAGGTCCTGAAATAACGAAGTCGTAATGCTTAGAGTTTATTTATATTTATTTATTTATTTTATAATATTTACCTTCATATGTCCACATCTCATTTAGATGAGGATTGTATTTATGTGCAACATAAAATGAAACTGCACATGCTGTATGCCTCTGCGCCATAGTAGTCGATGATTTGGAGGGATCATTAAGATTTCTATGGAAATCTTCCAAAACAGCCTCGATGTCAGCATAAATTACGACTGGGGGTGAAAGTTTTTTCGACCAACTTTTAAATATGGTTTTAGTATTGGGTTCTTGATATAGAGCCGCAACTTTTCCACACTCCTTAGTGTCGTGAATAGTATTTGTAGTACTATAAAATTGCAAACAGTTATCGCAAAAATATGCTGCACTATGAGATTTACTATGTTGGGAATAGCATAACTTCTTCATGCACGTTATATAGGCATAATGCATCATTTGCATATCACTATTGATGCCTAGCAAGTTTATATGATTAGGACGAATTTTATTAGTCCTCACTGTGGGTCCCACAACGTTTTTACCATTATCATCAATTTCATATATATTGATGCTGAAATCCTCATTGGCTTTTTCAAATCGCTTTATTCCTTTGCTTGTTATTGGAAACTCAATCTCAGAAAAATCGAGTCTAAAACCGTTATAATGAATTATTTCCTGGTTTATGTTTAAAATGCGATAGCTTGATGGGATTGCTAATTTGTCTCGAGCCAACCTTTTTTCAACTGATCTTGTAAATGTAGTTTCTGCATGTCTTTTATATGCTAATGATGCTAAAATACACCACTTGAAACAAAAATCATCTACATTTTTAACATTGATGATAGCATTTCGTGATTTTATTTTTTTAGGAGCTTCTATATACCCCCTTGCAGGGATGTGTTCCAGTTTAATTATTGTTAACTCAAAATATTTAAAATTTTTTATAGCCCAACCTGAATCCTTCTCCTGGAATTCGCTGCTTAAAGTTATAAGGTTTTCCAGAGCGTTATTTAAGTGTTCATCAATGAACTCTTGCTCATATATGGGTTTGTATGAAGTTATGAAATGCTTCATTGTTTCTGTCAAGGTTTCATCATCAGTTTGCTTGACATACAGACCATATACTTTTAAATTGAACTTTACGGCTCTGTACTCGCTTAAACAACAATTAAGTAAATTGATTATATCATTTTTACAATCATTATAAAAATCTTTTAAGTCAATCCGATTACTTTTACTGGATTGAACCCGATATGATTTTATGGGAAATTTCGAGTTTGATGCCAGGTTGATAATATTAGGATTGTTATGTATTTGGTCTGCAGCGGCATTCTTATGCTTTTCAGACATAATATGGCGCTTTTCCTTCGAGGGAGTGTAACTCTCACCGCATATTGCACAGTCAATGTTTTCCGCTGGTGCATTCATTCTAGGCCGTTTTGAAGATCTTGAAGTTGACTGTTCTCGGAGGTCAGTTGTCGAAGAAGATTTCCTCATTAGCACGTTGAAAGCATTTCTTTGAGCAGAACATACCTCATAATGAGAGTCTAGCTCTGCTAAGTCGAGGAAATTCAAACATAGATCGCACTCAACTTTTTTCTGGGGACCTAAGCAACTCTCATAATGAGAGTCGATCTCTGTTCCCTCTAAGGATTTATAGCATAGATTGCACTCAATCGGAATCCGCGGTCCTACGCAACTGTCGTAGTGAGAGGCGAACTCTGTTAATTTAACAAACTCTGAACACATAGTGCACGCGATTTCGGGATTCATTTTGAAATTTTTATATTTTGTTTGATCACTTTCACTATTAGAAGAGAACTAAGAGTTTTTCATAAAAAGCGTTATATTTATCTGCCTAACGCCTACTCAGTCTTTTGTATTCAACAGGTTCAGTACTCGTTTAAAACCGGTTTCAAAACGATTTCTTCTGCTGACTATGTAATAATAGGATGTGAAATTCAACCAATAAATACATTCAATACCAGGTACCTATACCTGAAATGCACTTATTCTTTTGTGTAATCCTCGCTTGGAAAACCTGTTTCAAACGAATCCTATGATTCTCTGGGGGGATGTAACATGTAATAGTAGGAAGTGAAATTCACCCAATCAGAAGTAAGGAAACATTGAAAATAAATTTCTTAAATGTAGTATTCTATTTATTATACCTATGTATGTATGTATATAATATTATGATTAGAAAAATACATCGAATATTTTTATTATACATATGCTTTCTCGCCTTATTTAAATCCAGCCTCAGTTCTTTCCAACGCCAACGAATGGCGTTTCAGTCATGGAGTCCTCACCGACATATTCCTCAAAAATGTATTGTGATGATATCATGAGGTCATCATCCTCACTATCATCATCCCATTTAATCTCATTAATAGGATCCCAATTCCTCTCGAGATAATTTTGGGTTTTAATTCCAAAAATCAGTGACAGGTCCACGGAGTCTGGCTGAGAATCCAGATTTATGGTTTCCTCCGGTTGCGACTCAATAAAAATGACCTCTAGGTTATCCATCTTTGTATACAGTTTACTAGTTTCTGTAATAGCTTATAGCTGTGAGTAGCTATTATATAGGCACTCAACTATAGGACAGTGTTGGGAATACAATACAGAGAGGAATTTAAACAGAATAGTAAAAAAAGGTTTAAGGTCAACGAGATCCTTTTACAGGTAAATGCTTTGGAAAAAAACTACCTCTAAACTATCACATCAGATATAGTTCAAGGAGATGAAAAACCTGTTTGACAGTGTTTTCGAAGAGCCTGAGTGAGAGGAAGGATCAAAGGGTAGAACTCGTTTAGAGAGAGAGAGGGAGATGTAAGGATTGATTTTTATTTGTCACAATTTTCAGGTAAAAAAAAATCGATATTGATTTTACAGAATTTCCAGAGGAGAAAAGAACTTAGTTCACATTTTCACCGATAGTGAATTTTCAGGTAAAAAAAAATCGATATTGTTACAGAATTTCCAGAGGAGAAAATAACTTAGTTCACGATTTTCACCGATAGGGGCGCCACCAAGTAGTAATGAAAAGGGACCTTCTTCGTATATTTACTATAATAAGTTCTCTTTGCATTCATCTTATACTTTTATTCATTGATTGCACATCCTATATATAAATATAGGTAACTCTACTCTTAAAGGATATGATTATGGTAAATATCAGAAACTAAAACCATATATATTTTTATAAATTATTTTATTTCAACATGATCATGGTAAATATCAGAAACTGAAACCATTTATTTTCCCAAATCAATATGAAAAAATATTTATTTGAACATGATCATGGTAAATATCAGAAACTGAAACCATTTATTTGAAAACCACATGTTGCTGAGAATAGGGTTGTTGAATCAAATATCATGTTTCACATCCTTAAGCAACATGTTGCGAATTTAGGATTTACTCGCAACACGTAGAAGGTCCCTTTTCATTACTACTTGGTGGCGCCACCTATCGGTGAAAATGTGAACTAAGTTATTTTCTCCTCTGGAAATTCTGTAAAATCAATATCGATTTTTTTTACCTGAAAATTCACTATCGGTTAAAATGTGAACTAAGTTATTTTCTCCTCTGGAAATTCTGTAAAATCAATATCGATTTTTTTTTACCTGAAAATTCACTATCGGTGAAAATGTGAACTAAGTTCTTTTCTCCTCTGGAAATTCTGTAAAATCAATATCGATTTTTTTTTACCTGAAAATTGTGACAAATCAAAATCAATCCTTACATTCTCCCTCTCTCTCTCTCTAAACGAGTTCTACCCTTTGATCCTTCCTCTCACTGTCAAACAGGTTTTTCATCTCCTTGAACTATATCTGATGTGATAGTTTAGAGGTAGTTTTTTTCCAAAGCATTTACCTGTAAAAGGATCTCGTTGACCTTAAACCTCTTTTTACTATTCTGTTTAAATTCCTTCTCTGTATTGTATTCCCAACACTGTCCTATAGTTGAGTGCCTATATAATAGCTACTGTTGTGCAAAAGAAATATACAAAAGGTAAGTAAACTGTTGCCTTAAAATATCAATAGAACTGAGAACAGTTGACTAATAAACAGCTAAACCATGAACTATGGCAATTTCGCGAACAAAAATGTGCTTTTTATTTTGATTTATAAATGTACATTTTTTTTTAGTTTTCAGTGAGCAGCAGAAGAAACATTAAAAAGTGTAAAAATGGATATCGACGATGAGTTACTTAGAATCATCTGGAAATCTTTTGATTATATTATGGAGCCACTGTATGTAGTTGTTTTGGCTTTTTTGCGGTTCCTTGTCAAAGACAAAGACTCACAGCCACTGTAAGCTGAATTTGAATTTAATCCGGTTGAAATATCTTGGTATTATATAGTTTTGGCAATAGGCAGTGACATGACTTAATGTTTGGCTGACAGTGTGAACACATGTACAATTTGGAAATAAAAACTTTTTGTATATTTTAAAAATTTTAGAAACTGGAATAACGTATCGAAGTTTAAAATATATCTCAGCTGATAATATTCGTGTGACTCTCCCCAATATTGGTTTAACGGCTGAATTTAGAGTGAAATTATTCGCTTGGAAAAAGAAAGAGGTAAACTTATTTTTTGTGTACATATTATATTATAATATAATATAATATATGTACATAAGTAATTATAATTTGTTAACTTATTTTCCTTATTTGTTCTTTAGTTTAATTTTGACGACGAAACATTGTCCGCTAATTCAAAAGATGTATCTTGGATTCAAAAAAGTTCTCCTTCGAACTCGTTTTCAGCTGGTTTAATGGTAAGTGCTTATAATTGCTTAATTATTTGTTTTATCCATATTTTTGTATTTAATTTTAATTGTTCGTTCTTTTTAATTTAATTAAATTTTTTCTTAATTTTTAATTTCAGATTGGAATGTAGTCGTTGAAAAATGGTCACAAAAATTTGATTTGCGTCGTAAGAACTTACAGAAATTGCACACTACAGAATTTCTAAAACAATGTCCAAAACATTCAGAAAGCTAAGCTCCAGATTTGGTGAGAGTCTTACTTAGAAAAAACAATTTGTTTTTTTTTTTTAGCTTTTTGATTTGTATTTTTATGCATAATTTGTTCTCTATTTAATTTTCTCAGGTTTCAAGTAGACTTTGACCATTTATATCCTGAAAAGGGACTTCACTTCGAAGCATAAATCCAGCACGATCATTGTCATGACAAAATTGATATAAGTGAGAAAATTGAATATAAAGGGACTACATACAAGAAAGATTATTTTTTAGTATGTAAAATTAACACCATATTAAAGGTATTTAAATCAATCTTATATTTTACTGAAAATGACGAACTATTTGTGATTTGTTGCGAAATGGATGTTTATAAATATGACCCACATTATCAAGCTTACGAAATAAGAGATCCCAAATCGAATTCTAATCTAATCGTTAATATTGCGGAACTTACATTTAGGATGGACGCATGACCGGTGTGATGTGACACCCATTGGTCAGAGTCTCTAAGACGGATTGCTGCCATTTCTGCCTGCTCCTTACCTGCAAGGTCAAGGCTCTGCAGGCATAGGACAGCATTTAGCGCATCCGTTGGTGGTGTGCTCAGAGCTCCACTGATGCATAGTGCTGCAGTACGCTGCACCTTGCCCAGTTGTTTAGTGATGGTCCCCTTCGATAGGGCAGGCCACCACACTGCGACTCCGTACAGCAGTATTGGTCTTACTATTGCTAGGTAAATCCATTGGACTATTCTTGGGTTCATGCCCCATTTTAGCCCAATGGCCTTCTTGCAAGTGTAGAGGGCTATCGTAGCCTTCTTCACTCTGTCTTTGATGCTCAGGTTCCAGCTAAGCTTTTTGTCAATTACCAACCCTAAGTAACTGGCACTGTCGCTGAAGGAGAGCCTACATCCGTTTAGTATTGGGGGGTTGAGGGACGGGATTTTGTATTTGGTTGTAAACAACACAAGTTCCGTTTTAGAGGGATTAACTCCCTGTCCACGCGACTCTGTCCATTCTGAGAGTCGCGCGAGCTTTGCGGTCATTAGATCGCAGAGTGTTTGAGGGAATTTTCCCGAGAAGATAATGGCAATGTCGTCCGTGTATGCTACCACCTTGCAGCCCTCCCCTTCTAGGTCACACAGAATCTTGTTGACTGCTATGTTCCATAGAAGGGGAGACAGGACACCACCTTGCGCGGTGCCTCTGTTGACATACCTTGACTGAGTGGATGATCCCATTGATGATGTCACTGTCATGCATGTGAGCAATTGATCTATGAGCATCACCAAGTGACGATCCACTCCAAGGTCAGTCAGGGCCTCTGTGATGGCTCCTGGTATGACGTTGTTAAATGATTCCTCAATGTCTAGGAAAGCGATTAAGGAGTATTCTTTGACGTGTAGAGACTTCTCTACCGCCGAGATTACTTCATGGAGTGCCGTTTCCGTGGATTTTCCTTTTCGGTAGGCATGTTGTGCGCCTGACAGCCACTGAGGATTTATGGTTGTCCTCAGCTGCAGCCCGACTAGTCTCTCAAAGGTTTTGAGAAGAAAGGACGATAGACTTATTGGTCTGAAGTCTTTTGGGGTTGTGTGTGAGGGTTTCCCTGCTTTGGGGATAAAGACTATTTTAGCCTTAAGCCAAGCGCGGGGGATTTTTCCCACTGTCAGTATCTTCCTGAAGATACTTTGCAGCCAGTTGATGGCCGTGTCCCCGTCTTTTTGTAACTGAGCCGGAATGACTTGGTCCGGGCCAGGCGATTTGAAGGATTTAAAGCTGTTTACTGCCCAGCTAATATTCCGTTTTGTGAGGATGTGCACCATCGAGGTTTCCGGGCCTTAACTTGGGGTGTCTGCCGGCTCGATGGTCGTACACCCAGGAAAATGAGTATCGAGTAGAATGTGTAGGGAGTCCTCACAAGAGTTTGTCCACGTACCATCCGTTCTCTTGAGATATCCCACCGAGGGGGATGTTTTTGACAGGATCTTGCGTAGCCTTGCGGCTTCTGAAGTGTCTTCAATTTCGGAGCAAAATTTTTGCCAAGAGGCCCTTTTTGCTCTCCTTGTTTCTTTTTTGTATAGGGTTGTAACGAACCATGGTTCTACCCATGGTTCGTTGCAAACAACTCCGCAACACCTCCAGTACACCGGTAGGCAGATCACAAAATTCAACTAAAGAACCATGGCATGGAAATAAAAATAATTCTAAGCAACGCTCACAATTTAATTAAGAACTCTCAACTTTACACATTTTGTCCACACAACAATTGTGACATTTCGCAATCGACGATGCGCATGGTTTGCGTTATCTCACAATAAAACCAGCTAGCATAAACAGTCGGAACAGTCGAGGAACGACGAAAGAGATTCGCCAGACTAGTCGCCGGAACACTCTCGCAGGATGCCTGGGTTCGATTGGCCGACCTCGAACGGCAATACGACAGACCAGCAGGACGCTCCAAGTCGCCCATGCCCACCACTCCTGGGCCGTCTGACCAGCGGAAAACCGACCCAAAAGCCGGGTTACAAGTCCCCACAGCGGCCGAATACAGCACACCCTGCCCACCACGCATCGTAACGCCAGCCGATCTGCCCAGACCTCCAGTTACGGAGACCAGCCGCTCGCCCACCCAGAGGATCGTGCCAGCCATGGACTCTTCCACCGCCCACATCGCGGAACAGATTCGGAAATGGGGGATCAGGTTCGACGGACAGGACGATCCACTCGCGTTTCTGGAACTACTCGAGGAACGTGCTCTCTCATATGGGGTGGACACAAATCACCTACCTCGAGCCATGACCGAACTTCTCACCGATCGGGCCAGTCGCTGGTACCGCACCAGCCAACTACAAGGCAGCTCATGGTCATATTTCCGCCAAGAATTTTTGACTTTCTTCTTGCCGCCACGGTATTTTGAACAATTGGAAGACCAGGTCCGAGCCCGCAAGCAAGCGGTAGGAGAATTGTTCAAGGATTACCTCATCGAGATACGTCTACTCATGCACCACGCCAGGTACGACGCAGCCAAGGAACTGAACAGGATCTACGATAACGCCCTGCCAGCATACCAGATGTACGTGCGGCGACACGAACTACAAAGCTTAGCCCAGCTTACAATGTTGGCCACCGAGTTCGAGAGCATCCAAGAGCGGACCATCCAGCCCACTTTCGCACCGCCACGAAGCACCCCAAGATACCCAAGGCCGGCCACCGAGCCAAGGAACGGCGGCCCACCCCGGCCACCATTTCGGCAACCCCACTGGGAGGCGGCAGACTCGCCAAGGAGGCAGTAAGCCCCCTCCAGCAGCCAGACAACGCCCGAGGTGGCGCACCGCATGATCACGACCCCTATCGCCAACCCACGCGCAGCCTGTCGCCGGTGTGGTGAAGCGGGGCATGTGGCATACGACTGCCAGAACCCTTCGATCCTATTTTGCTGGGAATGTGGCAAGCGCGGCGTACGGACCTTCAAATGCAGCCGCCAGAACACGTCGGGAAACGACACGCGTCCCCAGCTGACACGGGATCAGCCGGGAACGACGCCTCCCCCGAACCGCGACTAAGAAACTTTCTACATGTGAACAACGGTCGGATAGTGGCAACGGTAACCAAAGGAGGACACGTAACGGAGGCTACCCTAGACACCGGGGCCTCCAAAAGCTTTATCAACACCCACCTCGCCCGACAACTAGACAACCGCACCAACTTGCAAGATGCCAGCACCCGCATACGCCTGGCCGACGGATCGGTCAGAGAGATCACACAAGTTCTACGGGAGCCCATCAAGCTGGACCAACGAGAGGTACAAATACCGCTCCTAGATTTGCCAAACATGTTGGAGCAAGTCATTGTCGGCATGGATTTCCTATGCGCCATCGAAGCCACGATCAAATGCGGCAGCACACAACTGCAACTAAGCAATCAGTCGGCCACGCCAACCGCACCCGAAGATCCGACCAATCACATACCAGACACCGCGCCCAGAAGCCAGAAACGTACGCCAACCACAACGCCACCACGTACCCAACCTACCCCAACGCTCACGACACCCATTAATGCAACGCAGCACTCGACACCCAAACCAATGACAACGATAACGAAACGCCGGCCAACAACGGAGAACACGAATCCGAGGCCAACTCAAGCCAACCACAATCAAGCAATCGGGAAAACGAGTCCCACGGTGACTACGGAGCAACCGCGTCCTAGGCCAAGCACAGGGGACACACACCCCAAACAAACCACGAGGATCTCACACACGAGACAAACACACTTGAACCCGGCGCTCGACACAGGAAGCCCAGGTCCAAGACAAGCAACAGAGCAAGCACGCAGAGAAACCGCATCGGAAGCAGGGAACGCACGGACACATCCGCATCCGACAGCCCAGCCACACGGGAAACAGCCACGCTAACCCCACGCTGGACGGGGCCCATAATCGAACTGATCTCTACAGAGCCCCTCAACGAGGGCCCGGAAACCAGCACGATGCCCCCACGATGCCCAGACAGCCGTCCGGTCCTCCCCACGGCCGACGCCACACCGATCCTCGCCAACACAATGGAGTACCTTCCGCGTACTGACATGATTCCTAGCGCCATGCAACGAGCCATGCCTAGAGCCATGTCCGAGATCTTCGTCGCCCACGCAAGTCGTCGCTGCGACACAAGAGGCATCACCGAGACTCCGAAACCGCCGATCCGACCGAACATGAGCCCGAACCAGTCCCGGAGCCGTGGCCGCCAGACTTGGCCCCGCAGATCCAGGCATTTCTAAATGAAGAGCTACCAAAATTGTATGGCCTCCACGGGACATCGGACATCGCCAAGCACACTATTGTCATGCGGGATAACCGGCCCATAAAACAGCGGTACTATCCGAAGAATCCAGCGATGATGCGAATAATCAATGAACAAGTAGACCAATTGATTTCGGAAGGCCTCATCGAGCCCTCCCGGAGCCCCAATTGTACTCGTCCGTAAAAAGAATGGGAAATGGCGCATGTGCGTGGACTACCGGCAACTCAACACGCATTCCATCCCCGACGCATACCCGCTGCCGAGGATCAACTATTTTCTGGAACGGTTACAAAACGCGCGGTTCATCACCACCCTCGACCTGAAAAACGGATACTGGCAGATCCCCATGGCCGACGGAAGTAGAGAAGCAACAGCTTTCACCGTACCGGGC